TGACAGAGAAATAGCTGGATAAATTATTTGAAACCAGAATTAGAAATTTTAACTTTACCATGTGCATGTTTTTATTTAAAAAAAAGCAGAGACAGTAAAATACAGACAGGGCAATCTTCCAAGAGAAAGATAAAATGTCTCACAGGATAAAGAGGTATCAAATTAGGCTGGGTTTTTTCCCGTCTTGGTATACAAACATGGTTTTCAGAGTTGCAACTGATAACTACAACACAAAGGAGGGCTTTCCCACTAGGACCTGGCAGATGAGCTCAATGGTACATGCAGACTCCTAGAACCAAGAATAATTCAACCCTCTCACGTGAACCAAAGCAGAAGGGGCATTCTTGATATCAGGGGAACACAACAGCCACAGGATGCATGTGCCACGATTGTGTGCCCTTCTTGACAGCGGGGAAAAAAATACTTGAACACAACAGCCACAGGATGCATGTGCCATGATTGTGCGCCTTTCTTGACAGAGGGGAAAAAATACTGGCTGAAATCCTGTTGTGCAGTTACACAAACAATGTTACTTTTACAGGTGAACTGCCAAAGTTAAGGAATTTCTGTAGACGCAAACAATGTTACTTTTACAGGTGAACTGCCTAAGTTAAGGAATTTCTGTAGACTCTACCTGTTGCACACTGAGTTGCACAATTCAGCATGCATGACTTGCACAACACAGTGTGCAATAGATAATGGCTACAGTACCTGTTGCATACTGAGTTGCACAATTCAACATGCGTGACTGGCACAACACAGTGTGCAACAGATAATGGCTACATAGATACCTTAAGGCAATTTGCCTCTGAAAGTTACATTGTTTGAATAACTGCCCAACAGGATTTCAGCCACTGAAGCAAACAGTCTCTCCTCAAAGGCTCTAGGAATTAAAATTCTCATTTAAAAGAAGACAATTCCCCTCAGTGCCTGTCTTTGGATTTCTCAAAGACTTTTAGGGGTGGGGTGGCCCCCTGCTCTATATTTTTCTCTCCAATGTCCTTAACATTCTCAAGCTTATGAGGAGAGTCCTCACGAGTAAACAGTATACTATGCCAAAAGCAAAGTTTTCCATTCACAGAAAAGGGGAAAAGTATCTTTGAAGCTTTGAGTTTGTTAAGAATTAAACCCATTATACAGAAGTAACACAGAGCTTATGGTGACACAGCTGATTCTTTATCAACATGCTGATTCATAATCCTGCAATTTCCTGTCACATGTTGATGTTCAAAGTGCCATGCACTTGTTCCCTTCCACTTTGACAACAAGGACAAACAGGACAGAACAGTTAGAACTGTTATTTGTATATAAACATAAAAAAAACTGCACTCAACATTTATATCTAGAATTCTACATGAGGTCTCCAGAATCAGATCAAGACCACAATATATTAGGGTACAGGTGAATTCAATCTTCCTTGCAATGAGCCCAATTCAGAATGGGCCTACAACACCCACAATATTAAATTAGACTGAAAAACAGAGTTTCATTTAGAATAGCGTCCTGCCCCTAATGTTACAGACCTGCTTTGCATTGGCCTTCTCTTATCCCTTTAAAAGCCTTTCCTGACACTGACCTGACACCTGATATTCTTTCCCACCTGGCATTCTTCCCCATGCCAGCAATATCATAAACTAAGAGATCCTGCCATAAGAGCACGTAACACAACATACCTCCCAAGTTATTAATAAAAATCATGTGCTGCCAATTAATAAAAATCATGTGCCGCCAGCACCATCAATTCTGACGTATGGCGATCCTTTTCTACCTTTTTCCAGGTACAAGAATACCCAGAAGTGTTTTTCCATTTCCTTCATTCTGGGGGCATCCTGCGACTCTGCAACTTTCTTCTTCTGGGGGCATCCTGCGACTGTGCAACTTTCTCAAGGCCACACAAGCTGAACTTCCAACCTCTGGCTCTGTAGCCAGCTGCCCCAGTAATGATGAGGGATGATATTTGAATGGAAAGGAATGACAGTGTGGGCCTCTCCCTTATAATCCGAGTATTCCAGCATGATCTGAGGACTTGAATTGAAATAACAGACTAAGATAAAATTAAGAGTCATCCTTAGAGTTTATGGTTTTATACCATTTAGAAGCTTAGGACGAGCTCCAGGGTAATGGGAAGCCAACCAGGGACAAGAAAGGAGAAGGATATTAGAAGAGAAGAAACAGTGCAGAGGCAATGAAATCCTTTCAATCTTCTTAGCAATCTTTGAGCAATCAGGAAACATATCAGCATATTCTCTTAAGTAGGCATGAGACCTGTCTATTCCCAGGCAAGTAGGCCCAGAACTGCAAGGCTTAGAATTAGCGAAGAACCAGAAAAGCACCAAAAACCTGTTCTTAATTGTATTCCTTCTTGACTAAATCCTGTTGATGCCACTGGGGCTTGATTCCAAGAAAGCATGCCACACACTGCAGCCTGGGAATTGCAGGATTGCAGATTCACAATGATGTAGGCACCAAGCACACAAAGGCCTCATTCTAATGAAATATTAAGTATGCCTGGAGTTGCTAGCCTTTGCCAAGAGTGCAATTACAGCTCTGATACAATACTATAACAAGTTTGTAAGCTCTCATTTTAGTCCTACAAAAATGAGATTGGTCTGGCTCAGCAACAGAATGTTTTATGACTGCCCTAAACTGACTGCCAAAGAATCCGGCCATTTGGAAGTCAAGGATTCAAGTGCCAGTCTACCTTGCCAGCTGTTCTTTGTAGAACCAGCACTACGGAATATTATAAAATCCTTATATTCTGGATGATTTTCTTTACTGATGTTTGTAATTCTTCACTATACAAAGATCTGCTTTAAAATACTCTTGTGATGCAGATCTGATTTCATTAATTAGAAACATGGTGTTCTGAAGAGACTTAGGAGAAGGGCTCCAGGATAAGAAAGCACATAACTATCTGACAACAGAACAAATTCCACTGCTGTAGCTGTTTCAACTCTGACACCATGTCTGTGGCTGGCCTCCAAGCCCTACCTTCAAATTCTAAGATAATACTCAGCGAGCATTCAGCAAAGAAGGCATGCCAAGGACTGTTCTGTGCCCCCCTCTTATTTACTAAGACAGTTAAGCTGCACTTTGAGGCTTTACTCAATTTGTTTACCTGCATGTTCTGATTAGCACTACCATGCACAGACCTAGTTTATGACTGAAGAGCTACATGTTCAAAGAGAAACCTTTCTATTACATGACCTATAAAGCCTTAGTGCAACTTGGTATCATAGCACATGGCCCAGCCTTAGCTTTAATTACAGAAGCTTCTGAGTACAGACAAGCTAATCCAAGCCACTCTCAAACATCTTGGAAACAGAAGAGCCAAAGATTCCAGTCATTTGAAGGGCTTGGTTGAGAGGAGGTGTATGACTCAAAAGCTCTCTTTACCATTTTATTTGAACTCTGTTGGGTTTTAATGAACGGTATTAGCTTCCCTGTTTAAATGCCACCTATATTTTCTGTTTAACTATTACAGGCAGCAGGGGAGCCTGTGACTTAAAGATATTCCCAATCTAGGGTGTGAAAACTCCCGGGATGCTTTGGCTCTTACCCAAACCAGCCCTCTCATCCAAACCCCAAATGCCTGGGTATTCCCATTCTGCATCCTGCTCACCCCCACAAAGTGGAAGAGAACAGAGGGAAGGTGGGCTCTTCAAAGACCAGAGATAATATCAGAGATCCTCTCCAAGAATTCGCAAGGACAGAACAGCATACAGAGATTCCTGCTGTTACCTCCAATTTCTCATCAGTGATAAGAGTCAGGAGATAGGCTTACCTTAACAGGCAGGAACTTTCCAGATCTAAGCACCAGCTACAGAAATGCTCCTGCAGGAAGTGCTTGGGTCTGTAAACTGGCCGTACCTCCCCCTCCATTCTCCTCCTGAGGCCAAATATGCAGCAGGCAAAATGTCCCCAGTTTGAGTACTGTGCTAACTCTAGTGGAAAGGAAAGTTTATAACGAGTGGTCTACGGAAGGCACCCACAGGGGACAAAATGGATTAGCTATAAATCCTTCCTGATCAGATACAAATCACTTTGGTTGTTCCAGAAGTAACCCAAGCCACCCAGAGACCTTTGGGTAGAGTGGGCAGCATATAAATAAAATAAAATAAATAAAAATAAATTTTAAAAAAAGGAAAGGAAAGGAAATATTCTCCCAGATAAATTCAAGTAACAAAGTTAACTGACACAAAAAAACAACTTCAGAAACAAGTTTGAGATTTAACAATGAGATAACCATGAGTGCTGAATAACCACAGTTATCTGATTTTTAAAGTCAAATTTCTTTCGGGCAAGGGTTCCTTCAAGTGTGATTATTTTTTTAGTAGAAAGATTGTAATTTCACAATTGAGAGTTCTCAGAAAAACAGAAGAAATCCTATGTGTCTCATAAACCCTGGGCCTCACTGATTTCTTCATATCCCTCCCACATATTATCAAGAGTTTCAACAGCTACTTTTGCAAGAAGCCAAAGTATAATCAGGAACCTGTCTTGTTGCCCATACACAGGTGGATTCTGGAGAAGGAAGATCACATCCCAAGAAGCACAGCACTTCACTGGGAGGAGATCTCACAGAAGGTGACACACCTTGATGCCTGTAGGAAAGTTGCACAAGACTGCCTTAGATACCAGGCCTGCCCAAAAGAATGAAGCTGGACATATGCAGCTATAACAATAAGACATTGCAGTGCTGGATGTTTTTAAAAAAACAATTGCAGGTAATATCAGCTGTGTGAGCACATTCCCAGTGGCAAAGATAACAATAGAGTTCCAATTTACTGCACTATGATTAAATCCAATTGCTTGTTTCCACTCAATGATTCACCAAAATCATTGAATGAATAGAATTTGTTAGCACATATATAAGTCTCATTGATTCAACCAGCCGCCTGAAGTTGGGACTAACCATTGGATTTAGCTTCTAGAGTCCTATTTCAAAATGAGAATATACTACAACCAATAGAGGAAGAAAGACCAGCTGCTGTACTTACATCCATGTAGTTCTTCAAAGCCTCTGGGGTAGGTGTACGTGCATCGGGACCCCCATATTTGTACTTCAGCATTTCCCCCAATTCAGTCAGGTCTTGGATATCAGTCTGATATTCATTATAGATACTGCGCTGGGAGGGAAATTTCTTCAATGGGATTCTGGCCAGGAGAAATAATTTTTAAAAGAAGAAGACATGTTAGTTAAGCAAATCACTTCCTCAACACCAGTTTCTCCTGCAACCACACAAATAAGAATCAAGATAAAGCTCAATACCGTAAATGAAATCAAGGACTGATTCGTGATCAGCACTGTCTAGCTTTAAATTCCACAAAAAGGAAGATTATCTCAGTAAATTCGGATAAAACATCTGCCTTTGAAGCAAAGACAAGATCTCTGCCTTTTGATCTGGAACAAAAGGACAAGCAAACCACAAGCTCTGTGGAAATCATATCCTCTGCTGGGGATCCCTGTGAAGATAATAGATTCTCACTAAGTCATCCCCACAGGGAATTTGGCATGCTGTCTGGGAATCTCTCTATTACACCAAGTTTGGGAAGTTTAATTTTTCCTTTTATTAAGTCACACCTGCTAGAAGGCAACCCCTGGAAATTTGCTATGCAACCTTTAATTATAACACTTTTGAATGATACCTTTCATTGTAGGTATCAAACAACTTTAAGTTAAACTTCCTTTAGGAGCCAATGAAACAGAGAAAAGTATCAAAAGAAAGCAGACTTGTATATTGGCTTAACCTGTGACTTTTCCTTTCTACCAACAGGACAACAATATCTATAGTCTAACCATAATTCCCTATCACAGTTCTCTTCCATGTCATGGTTACGCTCCCTTTCTCTGTTGCAAAAGGAGAATCTCTATAACTGTGGTATTAATAACAAACTCCATTAGAACGAATTATACATTAACCAACAGCTAACTATAGAACAAGCCAGTTTAATTTAATGTTTCCTACTGAACAATGTAGGTTTCTACTGTTACATGCCATCATGTCACATTCAACTGATGGGACCCTATGAATGAGTGACCATCAGCATGTTCCATCATTATAACATCACTTCCATTATTGAGCCAATCCATCTTATGTTTGGTCTTTCTCTTTTCCTCCTGCCTTCAACTTTTCCTAGCATTATTGCCTCTTCAAGCAAGTAAGGTTTCTGCTAGTGTGGCTAATTCAATGAAAACCTCTCCCTTTTGTCCTAGTCCCCCCCAAGAAGACCAAGATTAGCTTGCATTTGTTAAAAAAAATGAATCTGAAATTAAGATGCCAGCAACTTTTAAGAAACACATAATATTATCTGATGCAAAGGAGGATGCTCCACTTCAGCCTTCCCTCTCTTGGCACAGGGCAGGGACTCAGTTCTCATGCTATGTGGGGATGAAGTTTCTCCAGTTCATTTGGGGAACACCAAGTTTTGGAAGGCTGAAATGGTTCCTGTTGGCCACAAAATAGAGTAGTAACCTGCCCCAAGAGTTTCCTATGTCTGCTCCCCATACTGCCAACAATCAGGCAGTAAGAGGGCAAGAAACACACAGCCATCACCCCCATCCTTACTAACAAACATTATACTACAATTCTTTTTGAAAGGGAAGCTGCCACCTTGCCTTCTTAACTTCACTGCATAATGCTCCAGATGTTATTGTATTGTAACTCTCATTATGCTTTGCCACTGGTCATGTCAACTAAGGCCAACAGTTGTTGTTAATTTGGCAATACCTGGACAACTGTATTTCCTCACCTACATGGATTACCTGTACACTGTCAAATGATAGCATCACTTGACTGGTATGTTCACAATAGCCAGTACAAAGCAAGAAGCCTTTTTTTGCAACTTATCTTCAAGGCATGGAAAACTTGGGGGGGCAGGGAGGGAGCCTCATCTTGCTGATTATTTAGAGACAAGAAGCCACTGGGGAAGATAAAATCCTGATTAATACATTTGTGAATCAAAGGAGATGCATGCATGGCTACTTCTTAATACCCTTCAAATGTTGTTATTTGCTGTCAGGTCAGACTGACTTATAGTGACCTTAATAAGGCATTCAAGGTAGGTGAAATATTTAAGGAGTAGTTTTATTGGTTCCATGCCCCCTGTGAGTTTTCATGGATGAGCAGGGATTTGAACCCAGGCCTCCTGAGTCCTAGTCCGTCACTATCTACTACACCACACTGGGTAGCCCACTCTTTAAACAGGAATAGCAAAATCCTTCAAAACAAAGCTGTGCCTTGTGCACTGGGCACTGGCCAATGTTCCTGTAAGCAGTTTCAGCTCCAGTATATCATCTAGTATTATTGAGTAGGGATGTTACAGACAATTACTTTGCTAGAACAGACCTGAACGTCAGCACACCACCAACCCATGTAGGAAGCACTTACTACATGTCGGAACACCAGCCACCAAACTTGTTTGCTTATTTAGAAACAAATGCCACTACCTTCTCACAATCTAGTATCATCTCTGAAATAATTCTCACCTACTCTGAAAGCAGGACTGGGGCGTGTATGTGAAACTGAGAAAAGTAAATGTTTTGAAGGCGATGAGTACTTTAAAAAAATTATGTGGTGCTAGGGAACTGTCTCAGAGTGCAAGTTCTATCAAGTACTCAGCTCTTGATAAGGATATGCACAATGGAGTTCTTTTCCTCCAGCTATACTATGGCTTTGTTTTGTCTTTAAAATGCATGAGAGTGTTAACAGGCCTCTCAGTATTATTGTCATATTCAGGCTGAAATTCTTTCAGGGAGCAAACTTTGTTGAACTAAGCAGGCCTAACTTTCAAGTAAACCTGCTTAGGACTGTAGCGTCAAGCACAGATTCTTAGTAAGGCACAATACTGTTTGGGAGGCTGCCTTTGTTAATAATCTGCTGCTATACCAGAACTCTACACGGGATGGGGAATATAGATGGTGCTAGACCACTAAATGTTGTGAGGCTCTACTATCCACCAGCCAAAGCTGTCACAGCCAATGGTGAGAGATGATGGGAGTTGCAACTCAACACTTTGAATGTCCCATGTTTTCCATGTCTATTACAGATCTTCTCCCTGCAACTAGACATCCATAGGCTTAGAAAAATCCTGTGGTCCTTATGGTACTAACTTCATTATGTCTTACAGATAGAGATCGGGGCAAAGCGCCAAAATAGCGCTTCGTCTTGGTTCATGAATCACAAATTGCCCCCAGTGACCTAGATGAACAGTGAATCTATTTGTCAGGTCATTTCCCTCACCCTTTCTCTCCTCTTGCTATGCCCCGTGTGGCTCAGCAAGAAGAGGGAAAGCAAGGATCATGTGATCCTAAAGCGCTTTGATCCCTTTCCCCCTCTTCTTGCTAAGCCCCATGAGGCACAAGAAGAAGAGGGAAAGCAGGGATCAAAGCAATCCCACAGTGGCTGGGGGATCCCTTTGATGTTTCTTTGATCCCTTCCCTCCTCTTATTACGCTGTGCAGGCAGAGGAAGAGGGAAAGGGTAACCAAGCCATCCCCCAGGGTGAGATTCTCTTCAGGCAGGCTTTAGCAAGCCACCCAAAGGGAAAACCCCTCTCTGCTTATGCCCCTGGCGAACAGCTGATCAGCAAGGGCATAAGCAAATAGGGAATGGACCTCAAGACTACAAAGCAATGAATATCTGATGAATCAGGGATATTTAATAAATATCCTGATTCATTTTTGTATTCATTCCTATGTCTACTTACAGATCTTTATTTACCTATCAGGGATATTTAATAAATATCCTGATTCGTTTTTGTATTCATCCCCATGTCTTTATTTATTTACCTTATACACCACCCACACTACCCAAAGGTCTCTGGGCGGCTTACAACAATCTTGAGATCACAGAATCTATACAACCACCATTATAATCACTACAGGTAGCACAACATTGGGGCAGACAGGGTGGGGTGAAAAAAAAGAGAGAGAAAACAAGGTATTTAACCAACACCACATACATCCCTGGTTAGAAAATTAATTTAAGCAAGAGAATTCTATGCATTTCTTGTCAAGTTAAAGTGGTGTCTTCTTAAACTACTGTAAGGCTGGGCAACTGTAGTTGTAAGACTCAGTTCCCTTGAGTCTTAGTTTACACTGCAAATAATGAGGAAAGATGGGGAGTTGCAGAAGGAAGTTTCAGGACCACAATATCAACCCTAGTAAGGCTTTCAAGGAAAGGGAGATATTGAAGGAGTAATTTTACCAGCTCCACACCCCCATTGGGCTCCCATGGCTGAGAAGGGTCTCCAGTGTCCTAGTCTGTCCACCACATCACTAGGTATCTATACACATTTGCTTACCACTTACTTGGGACCCATTATTATTATTATTAATTTTATTTATATCCCGCCTATCTGGTCGTGTCAGGACCACTCTAGGCGGCTCACAACATGTTAGTCTGAACTCCTGTAGGGCTTACTTAAGAGCAAACACACCTATTTTGCTCTTTAGACATATGCCATGCACTTAAACACCCAACTGGCATCTTCTCAGTTCCAAAAGAAGCCAAGACCAAATGTGGACGTGCAGGGAAGAAAAGGGGATTTAAGGAGTGTCCCCAAACCCGCAAACCCGCCTCGTTTCCATCGTAATTCTTCAAACCTAAGGCCTCTTGCAAAAGCAAGGATCTCTGCTCGGTGGAGCCCCTCCGACCGTAAGATACAGGCCCGAGCCTCGAGCAACTCCACGACCCGGCGTGCTGGTAAAAACGACAATGCAGCCGCCCTTCTCTGGGGAACAAGCCAAGCGAACTAACCGTGAGCCCAACAAAATGCCGGTCTCTTCCTAACAAGAACCCCGAAAAGAACCAACGTCACCGTCCAGCAGGCTTTGCAATACGTACTCCTTGAAATGAGCGCCTAGGTTTGTGTTTGTTTGGTGTTTTTTTTCCTGTGATTGTTTTAAATAGAAAATTTCTGGTCGTGTGCAAGATTCCGCCCCGCGATTTCTTTTAGGTATTTTGGGAAGTGGGAATCCCTAAGGGCTCCGCGCCCAGCGGAGAGGAAGCCGCCCCTCACCTGATCAGCGCCGAAGAAGCGGCCAGAAGAGAGGCGAACACCAGGAAACAGCGGAGCCCCATCCTCGCAGCAGGAGCAGCAACAGCGGCGGTCAATAGGAGACAAACTCGGAAGGATCTAAACCCCCTCCCCGGTGCAGGCGCTGCTCCGTTTATGTACTTGCACCCTCTGATATCAGGGAGATGACCGAGCAGTCCAACCCCGTGACCGGCTCAATCAGCTGACCAGCTTAAAATTGCACCTTTTCGGCCCCACGTGATCGGGAAGGAGGCGGGGCCGGGCTTAACCCTGTCGCTGCCGTCAGATACTCGTGGAAAGATGATCTCATCGCCGCTGCACGAAGAGCGGATGGGGGAGACCGTCTGCTTGCGCCTGGGTACGTGGGTTGGTGCGAAGAATTAAAACGCGCCGTCCTTCGTCCCACATTTGGCACTGACATCATATCCACGACCGCAAGCCATGGGTTTCTCTTAAAAACAAGAGACGTCCTTTGCAATAAAAAAATGGTGGGTTCCCCTTTTGTCCCTTGGGGGGGGGGAACCTAAGCGTTTCGCACTGGAACTTCCGCACCTGTAGCAGGCGACTTGTGTGTGAAGCCAGTGTGGGCAAATGCCGGGGTTGCCCTAAATGGCTACACTGCTGTCCGGCATCGCCGTCCGTTTTCGAAAAATTCCTGCAGAACTATCTGACTACAGCACAAGTCGGGGGTGGGGGTTGCGGTCTCAGGAATAGCCCCCAAGTCCTGGCGAGCACAGACGTGCAGCAGCCTTTCCAGTAGGGAAGAGGCGCAGGGTAGCAAGGCGGGGAGGAGGGGGTCCCTCAAGGATGCCCGGAGCAAACGGGGAGGGAGAACAGCCCGGACGGCCCTCTCACGGACTCGTGGCTACTTCGCGTGGCCCTTCCCTTGCTCCCTCCCTCCCTTTCGCCCAGCAAGGCCACCCCCAGCAAGGGCGAGCAAACCAGAAGAGAGCAGAGCTATTAGCTGTTGCGCGGCGAGAGCAGCGGGGGGGGGGCGAGGGTCCTGAGTCACCTCAGCCCAGGCTTATCGCCCTTCCATGTTGGAGACCTTCTCCCCCCACCCCTCCCCGTCTTCTCCTACTGGTGCGACTCTAAGCAACGCCAGCTGGCGACGTCTGGGCACGTTTTTCTCTCATTCTTCAATATTGTTGCCTTGGGGGCTTTTAACATTATAGAGGAAGGGTTTAAAAGATTGAGGGTTTTTTTGGGGGGTGGGGAATGAAAATGCTTTAATCTAAGTGGAAATAAAAAAAAGTAAAGACAGCAAACAGGAAAAGTAACCTAGTAACCCCAAAAGGAAGCTATAGATAGAGCAACGCACAGAAAGTGACTCAGCAAAAGAGCTGGAAAAAACAGAACAGGGGGTGACAGAGAAGAAGAGCTGGGAAGCAGCATGTGACTAGCGATGCTGTTACAGTACTTGTGACTTGTTTCCTGGGGTGGGGTGGGGGTGGGGCAACCGGAGCAAAATAATGTTCGCTTCTAAAATAATAAGAAGTGATAATAACTTCCAATGAGATAGAATCACTGCTAAAGACAGTGCAAATATTTACTGAAGATACTATAATGAGATTTGGAATTGACAAATGTGCAGCTCTGTCTGTACGACATGGCAGGATCCAAAACCTAGATGGAACAGAGTTAAAAATGGCAATGCAGTGTTATAAAGCCACTATCAAGTGATGAAAATTATAAACACAGGACCTTGGGATGCTAGAAGCAGGTATCATCCTGCACACAAAAGGTAAAGATCTGATAGAAAGGGGATACATGAGAAGACTGGGGAAAATCTTAAAATCAAAATTAAATGGTGGAAATACAATAAAAGCCATAAACACATGGTCAGTTCCAGTAATTTGATACCCAGCTGGAATAATAGATTGGACCCAAAATGGATTTGAAGAACTGGATCCAAAAACATGGAAACGAATGAATGTGCATCACATACTACACCCAGAATGTGGACAATTTATATTTGCCATGAAAAATTGGAGGCCATGGATTACTGCAAATGCAACAGGCAGTAGAGGAAGAAAAAAGAAGGCTAAATGATTATATCAGTAGAAGCAAAGAAAAATTACTTAAGGCAGTGAAAATGGAGAATATTTTGAAAACAACAGAAACAAAGGCTCAATATGAGAAACAACAATTTGAAAATAAATTAAACATTTGGAAAAATAAACCACTACATGGACAAGACCTGAGAAATACTGATGGAAAGCATGATAATAATTCAACATGGGCATGGCTAAAACTGGGGACTCTTAAGAAAGAAACCGAAGGCTTGATTTTTGCTGCACAAGAACAAGCACTCCAAACCAATGTGATGAAAGCTGATATCCAAGGACTTAGTGCTAACAGTAAATGTTGACTGCCAAAAAAAAGATGAAACTGTGAAATACCGCATCAGCGAATGTCCGAAGACTGCCCAAACAGATTACAAAGTTAGACATGATAGAGTGGCAAAATTAGTGCACTGGGCCTTTATGCAAAAAAGATAACTCGCCAGCCTCCAAAACCCCGTGGGAACATCAGGTAGAGAAGGTGTCAGAAAATGAGGAAGTCCAGATCTTGAACTCCTCAGACCTCCTTCAGAGTACACAGGCAGACAGGATCGCTTGTAGACAAAATGTCCAGGTTAATTCTCTTCTTGGGCTAACCATACATAAATGCCCCAAAAATGGCACTGAAGTCTTCTCTCAGCTACTCAGAAGGAAGCACTATTGAATTCAGTGGGACTTATTTCCACTTACATATGGTGTTGTAGCCTAGACCTCCTAAGAATTTCTTCCTCTGTAAATTTGGGTGTATTGGGGATTATGAGGATTTCTTACCTATGTTACACAGAGGGGTTCGTCTCACCACTTACTCACACAGCCCTTTCTGCCTGGAATGGGTTAAGTCCAATGGGTTAGCACACTAATGGTTGGGAAATGCCTTCTGTGGCCCATTTTTCCCTAGCACACACTTTCTTGGGTGCTTGCGGAACATGCACACAAGCAGCTGGTTGCTTCTAGTTGCACACCAACTCTGCATAAAATAGAGGACAACTCAAAGTGTTCCAAAAGCTCTGAGCATCCTCAGACACTGTGTTTAGTGCCATTAACCCCTTACACTGTACATTGCTGTTCAAAAGACCCACAGCTTGGTTAAAATTTTATTAGTTTATAAAAAGAAAAAAAATAGCATTGTAAAAGTTCCAATAATTCAGTGGTGATTACAAAAATTATCATCAGGTAACATGAACAAACTTTACAGAACTCAAGGCATGATAAAGCCTTGTTGTTTAGTCATTAAGACATGTCCAACTCTTTGTGACCCCATGGACCAGAGCACACCAGGCCCTCCTGTCTTCCACTGCCTCCTGGAGTTTGATCAAATTCATACTGGTAGCTTCGGTGACACTGTCCAACCATCTCGTCCTCTGTCGTCCCCTTCTCTTGCCTTCACACTTTTCCAACATCAGGGTCTTTTCCAGGGAGTCTTCTCATGAGATGGCCAAAGTATTGGAGCCTCAGCTTCCGGATCTGTCCTTCCAGTGAGCACTCAGGGTTGATTTCCTTCAAAATGGACAGGTTTGATCTCTTTGCAGTCCAGGGGACTCTCAAGAGTCTCCTCCAGCACCACAGTTCAAAAGCATCAATTCTTCGGTGGTCAGCTGATAAAGCTGTTTATGATAAAGCTGTTCACACATAAAACAAGAAAGGCTAACATCCTAAGATATACTTACACATGCATGCAGAGTTCTCCATAGCATAAAGCTCATGGTGATGACCAGTCCATGATGATAAATCAAGATGGATTGTGGTAAAGATTCTATCTGCCTTAAATCCCATCATCCTGCAGTCCACAGTTCGAGGAGTCCACCAATCACAGGGTTTTGTTTAATTAGTTCTAACTGTACCAGTTAAGCTGTTTTAATTAGTTCAATTCCAGGTGCTCCCACTATCAATCAACATGGCTCCAAGTCCTCTCATCTTCAAGGCCATCCTTGCCATCGCTAATGCTCTTGTCTTGAGACCGGGTATTGATATATCAAAATATGCAAGCTTAGCTTGAACATTTTATAGCTTTTCATGACTTAGTATGGTTAATCTTCTGTTTTAAAAAGGTTTTGAAGTTCAATTCTTCCAAAATCTTCTGATCTTCTGAACACAAGGAAATAGTCTGGCGTCTTGCAATATCATGCCTGCATGGCCAAGCAGGAAAAAGGATGTCAAGCTTTACATATCAAAGGTCAGTCTGAATGTTCACAGTATTAATGTCAACAGCCAAGATGGTTTACAGGACCCCCTCTTGTGATCACTACCATTCATAGACATTAAGCAAGGAAAAATCCCAGATAGTTAAGCACATTGGAACTGCTGGATAGCTCAGTAGTTTGAGTTGGGAGTTTGATTCTCCACTGCCCCCCCCAAAAAAAGTAGTAGTCCAACTGCTGGACCAAAAAGTTTCAGCTTGTGCATGCATCAAGGTCATGCTGTAACTCTATTCCCCTAAACTGCCCCCAATGGTCCAAAATGTGAGCTATATGCCCATGTGATCACATCCTAAGTCTAAGTGCCTCTCCAATTAACTTTTTAAATTGTATTTTTATTAATAGTTGCTGATGTCAGCATGTATAAACAAAACTATTTGATTTTAGTAACAACTTCTCTAACTGAACCTACATGTTTACATAGTGTTTAATGTCAACACTATGTCTCCTGCTGAACTGATAAATTAGTACAAAAACAATGAAGGCAAAGGAAACTATATATAGATTAGAAATAATGACAGTAGCATGAATGCTACAGCCTCATGAATACAGAATTTGCAGAATATTTTAATGAATATGTGCTCCATATTGCTTGTTTGTTTCAGTATATGGCATTAATCTGTCTGGATGTCTCTGAACAGCATGTAAACTGATGCTTTATGATAAGCCTTAATTGCACATATGGCATTGTTTTCTTAGGCACTGTAAAATATAACTAGATTTTTAAAAATGACTCCAGGCAAGTTGTTTATATTAGAAAGTGATGTGTGGACCACATATTCAGACCATTTTAAAAATCCTTTCCTTTCCTTTGGCCCCATGTTCATGTTAGCTCTGATTCACCTAGTAAACTGCATGGCAGTCTTTTGTTTTTGTTTGGAAGGGACTGTCACTCTCGAATTGGCCTTCTCAGCCACACTAGACGCTGTTCCAAGTTCTCCATGCAGAGCACATT